TTTTACAGTATCAGAGCTGAAATTAGCAAAAATGTTGCTTTGACCTCAGCTAGGAGCAACTCAAGTTTCTTATTAGTCTGCACATGTGCATGTCCGTAGTGACCACACAAAAAACACCACAGGTACTGTTTTTGGAATTAGAAGTAAAATTTAGTTATTAGGTGATTTTGGAAAAACACAGAATCCACAAATAATGAGGAACAACTGTGTAATATTTCCCAAAACAGGGCCAGACCAGAATTGTTCTCATTTTGCAGATTAGAAAATTAAGTGATTTGAAACATGGATTGCAACTAAGTCTGTGATAATGTTGCTTAAGCAGAGACTTCGCTATTGGTGTTTTTTTTAAGTCAACTTTATTAAGGGCTAAATTTCACACAGCAAAGAGCACACATATTAAGTATATTGTTTGGTAAATTTTGGCAAATTTATTCACCCACATAACCACCACCAAAGGCATGATAGAGGGTATTGTCATCACCCCAAAATGTTGCCTTTGCCACTTCCTAGTCAGGCCACATGCCCTGGTCACATCCATCACTGAGCTGTTTAGGTCTGTGTTTCCTAGAGTTTCATATAAATGGAGTCAAAACAACACACCCTTATACATCGCGTATTTTGAAATAAAGCCATGTTGTTGCCTGTGTCCATAGTTCATTTTTTACTGTTTAATATTTCATAGTACGGATATGTCACTTATGTCATTTATTATGTTACTGTATGTCATTATTCACCTATTGATAGATAATTTGGATTGAATTGTTTCTAATTTGGGGCTGTTATGAATAAATAACAATATTCAGATACAAGTCTTTCTGTGGATATATTTTTGTTTCTTTTAGGTATCAGTAAATAGGAGTGGGATTTCTGGAAAGTGTATGTTTACCTCTATAAGAAACCACTAATATATTTTCCAAAGCAGTATGATTTTACATGCCTATTAATGATGCATGAGGGTCCCATTTGCTCCACATCCTCACCAGTACTTGGTATTGTCAGCCTTTTCAATTTTAGCCATTCTGATGGGTGTATCTTATTGTGGCTTTAATTTGCATTTCCCTCATGACGTCTTTTCCTTTGCAGTTGGCCATTTGTATATCTTTTTGGTGACGTATCTGTTTACTTTCTTACTAGGTCAAGATGAAAATTCTTTCTGTGTTCTAGATGCAAGTGCTTTTTGCAGATATGTGTTACCTGGTTTTAGCTTTACTATAAGGTCTTCTCTCATAGCTCAGTTTGTAAAGAATCCGCCTGCAATGCAGGAGACCCCGGTTCAATACCTGGGTCAGGAAGATCCGCTGGAGAAAAGGATAGGCTACCCACTCCAGTATTCTTGGGCTTCCCTTGTGGCTAAGCTGGTAAAGAATCTACCCACAATGTGGGATACCTAAGTTTGATCCCCGGGCTGTGAAGATCCCCTGGAGAAGGGAAAGGCTACCCACTCCAATATCCTGGCCTGGAGAATTCCATGGACTGTATAGTCCATGGGGTCGCAAAGAGTTGGACACAGCTGAGTGACTTTCACTTTTCATTAGGTCTATGATCCATTTCACATTAATTTCTGTTTAAGCTGTGAGTTAAGGATTATGGGTCATTGTTTTCCAAATGAACATTCAATTGTTACAGTACCACTCAGTGAAGATGCTGTAATTTTTTCATTGTATTATTTTCACTTCTTTGTCAGAAAATCAGTTGACCATTCGGGTCTACTTCTGGACTTATTTCTGTTAAATTAATCTTCATGTCATTCCTTATGCTAGTACCACTGTCTTAGTTACTGTAGCTGTGTAAGTGTTGGAATCAGGTAGTATTAGTCCTCCAACTTATTCTTTTTAAAATTCGTTTTGGCAATTCTAGGTCCTTTGCATTTTGGTGTGAATTTGTGAATCAGCTTATCAATTTCTACCCCAAAATTTTATTAGGATTGTGTATAATCTATAATTTTAAGATTTTTCATGTGTGAATATGTCTCTTCATTTATCTGAGTCTTCTTTAATTTTCTCAGCAGTGTTTACTGGTTTCAGTATACATATCTATTTTTAAATAGTTTTATGGTGTCATAAATGGTGTTTTTTCCATTTTAAATTCCAGTTATTTTGCATACATGCTAGTATACAGAAATACAAAGCATATCTGTCTATTGGCCTTGTATAAATAGGTTCCTATTTGAAAAATCAAAATAATATGGAAAGTGGACAGAACTTTTTTAAAGTGCCCCATACATTGTAAGATCACAGAGTATACCAAAAATCTAGTTGTGAACTAGACTATTAATACGTAACCAGTTTGCTTTTGGACAGATCCCTTAACTCTTAAATTATGAAAATCTTGCCAAAGGATTGGTTGAAAAGAAATTAGAAATGAATTTTCCCAATGAAATCAAACTGATAAAAAGCACATGTCAGGTTTTGTCGGGGGGGGGGGGGTGGTTGTGTGTGTGTGTGTGTGTGTGTTTGTTGTTGTTGTTGTTGTTGTTGTTAATTTTTAAAATCATTCTGGGTCTCAGGAAGATTACCACTTCCTTCCAAAAATCTAAATAAACAAAGGCACAAGATAATGAGTTGCAAAATCTCCTTGGAGCACATGCACTCTAAAAGAAGAGAGATGATGATGAAGAAAATGTCAACATACAAAATTGTGTGAAAAGACAATGAGTTCATCCTTTAAGAAAGTTTTTCAGTCTCTTTCCTGGAACCGCTGAAGGACTAGGGAATAGTAAGGAAAGAACAGAGAAGAGTTAGTTAAAAGAGTGTCCCACAGGCCACCCTTTTGATAAGGCCAGTTGCTGAAAATATGGATTCTCCATTAGTGTAATTCCTATGAAATTCTGCTGCCCAGATTCCAGTCCTGTTTGCTTTGGCATCCTTCTCCCTGCCCGAGAAATGGCTGCAGTTGGCTTTGAGTGAAGAAATTCTAAAACCCTGAGATACAATGGGGCCCTTGTTAAGGGTGGGGGTAGAACTAGGTAATAGAATTTTTTCTGCCAGAGGTCTTTATCTCGCGTTAACGTGCCAAACGTAGTCATTGAAGAGGCAAGGACTGGCCATTTTGTTATTTTGATCTGGCCACTCACCCAGACTGTTTTTGGTATTTAACATCTATATGACTCCAGCATTCCCTCCTATGCACGAAGCAGTTTTTGAGCCAGGTGGCTGCAGGGTATGGCCTTGAGTCAGATCTCATTGGCTGCCATGCACCTGATTGCTGGCTCTCCTGCCAGAAGGCAGTGGCTGAGTGAGTGTCACCATATGAGCCAGTCTGTGGCTCCTCTTGTTCCCTGGCTGAGCTGAGAGAGCAGTGCTTTGCCTTTTCTCTGTAGCATATGTGGGCATGTGAAGACACACACCCTCGTAACTTGGGGTTACCAACCTAAAGGTCAAGGACTGAATCTGCTGGCATTGCATCTGACTTTTGGCCAACCGAGAGGGCATTTTGTGTGGGTAGAGCATAGGCCCAGCAGCCAGCAACCCTGGCTCGGGACCTGAGCTGGCTGTCAGCAGAGCTTGCACCTGCCCCATGACAATCTCGTCTCTCAGGTAACCCACCTTTCCTGGGTAACCAAGCTGAGGAGAGGCATTGTGGCTCCTGCATGCCTGTTAGCAAGAATTTCTGATCTGTGTGGTGCTGAGTGCATGAGTGCCTTGCCGTGGAGAGCACAGGTGGTCTACCTTGCCCATTTGCCAAGCCTCCCTGTTGTGCTACTTTGCAGGGTGGAATAGGAAGTAGGTGGGATGCACAAGTGAGTCTCCCCTGTAGTTCAGACAGGACCATCTCTGACCCTTGCCCCCCTCAAGCTGACTGATTCTCCAGTGTAAACCAGAGCCTGCAGAGGTGGAGGACAGACAGCAGAATTCCATTTTGGTCTGTTTAGCTTTATGTTCGAAAACTTAGAAATACTCATTCTTTCCAAATAATTTCAGTCTTGTGAGATAATAAAAAACTAATGAAGTACTGAAGCATCTGCAATTTTTGCTTCTTGCCAGTTTTTTCCTCTGCTTTCAGCTTCTAATTTGAAGTGCCTGGTACTTGCAGTGAGCACTGTGGGAAGCAGGGGGTTTCCTAAAGAGCCTGTCTGTTGAAAACATGCCCAGAGGCAGGTGGGTGGCCATTGGGAATATGTGGATTGAGCAGGTTGGGTTTCACTGATTTCCTTTTGGTTCAGTTTAGGTTCAGTTTACATACACACAATCTAAGACTTGCATAACATTAGAGCAGACTTCTCAGTGATCCCCAAAAGAGCATAATCAAAATACTGTAAGCCTCAGCTGTGGATAGGTAAACACAATTGTGTCATGTCTTAATAAATTGGGCACAGCTTTGACTTCTGTTGTGTTGGGTCTTCACTTGTGCCCCAAAAATGAATTTCAGGACTCCTAAGAAGAGAGTGGCTCCCCTCTTCCACCTGCCCAGGTAATACCATTTAGTGGTAGAGTTTGCCCAATACCCTTCCTACCTTCTCAAGGCTAGTTCAGCTCCTGCTTGGAGTTTGTGTGAGGAAATAAAATGATGACATGAGGCAGTTTGGAATGTGCATAATTGCTTGATCACTAGAGTATTTTTAAGACTTCTATCCTAGTCTTTAAAAAAGTTACCTTGTATTCATTGCAAAGTGTCTAGATCTAACTAATTGCTCCACCTCCAGGGCTTTTCCTCAAAAAAAAAAAAAAAGTAGCCCTATACTGCCCTGGAAACCCACTTCCAAAGTAGGTTGGACTCACCAGCTGGAGACCCAAGTCAAGGGGGAAGCAGAAGACCCAGGGGAGGAGACTGGGAGATGGCCAGGAGTGGGTGTTTTTTCTTCATCTCTGAGAAGAAAGATGATCCTCTGATCCCGCAGAGGTGCCCACTTAACATTGTTCTTGAGTTTTCTGCATTCTTAGTGTGGAATCCTTGAAGACAATTGGGAGCAAGGCTGGAAGTAACCTCGTGCTTAGTCTGTGGCAGGAAGGCAGAGCCCTTGGAACAAGAGAGGGCCTTGCTATGGGCTGAGTTGTTTCCCAGGAAAAGATATACAGAAACCTAACCCGAGACCTGTGAATATTGACCTTATTTAGAAATAGGGTCTTTACAGATGTAATTAAGTTATTGAGGTAGTAGACACCCTTAATGACTGGTGTCCTTATAATAGACACAGGGAGGAGTGTGTAGAGACATGGGGACTAAAGGCCACGTGACGGTGCAAGGAGTGACTGGAGCGATGCTGCCACAAGCCAGGGGACAACTGAGCCCCCAGAAATTAGAAGAGGCAAGGGAGGATCTCCCCTGGAGCCTTTGGAGGGAGTGTGGCCCTGCCAACACCTTGATTTCAGACATCCAGCCTCCAGAACTGTGAGAGAATAAATGTTCACTGTTTTTAAGTCTCCCAGTTTCTGGCACGCTGTTAACGGAAGCTCTAACAAACTATGAAGAAAAAGTAGTAATACTACAACTGAACCTTATCTGCTGGCTACTTTTGTTTATAGCTGGCCTCACTGTAACCCTGGCTTTTGATTAATGCCATTAAGAAACCACCATTGAACCTTAAGACTTTTCAGAGACATGAGAAGCACCTGGGCTCAGAGAATGGTTTTTCCCCAAACAGTTGCATTTACAGGTCCCTTTCAGTCACATAACTACTGAGACAGGCTGATGAAATAGTGAGACATGCTCCCGAGTCCAAGCTTCCTGACACCAAAGTCTGTGAGCCCCACTGTCATTTGGGAGGGACAAGTTGGCACCGCTCAGCATGAGATTCGAGAAGACAATACAGTGTGGATTCAGCGTTTTTATTCATAAGCTGTAAGCAGATACATGATCTTTTCTTTACTGTGATTTCTCATTTTTCTGTGGACCAGGAGTCTCTGTGGGAGCAATGGGGAAGCAACAGGGAAACTCTAGTGACACCAGGAGGCCCCACAGGCCTTTGCTCACCTCAGAAAATCATCTGCCAAGAAGCGCAAGCCTGGACATTTCCTTCCGTGAGAACAGAAGGCCCTAGGCGACTGAGGCCCTGTGAAGGGGCCTGTTTGTGTGCGGGAGAGGTGCCCAACTACCGGGGGTGGGTGGATGTCTCAGGCTCCATCTTCTGTGTCCCTCAAACTGAGGTCAGATGTGGTGGCGGTTGTAGAGATAGGATGGGTATAGGCCATCGTAATGCCATTGGCGCCACTGCTCGATGGCCTCCCGGCTTCTCTCTTCCTGTTCTGGGGACAAGAGATGAAGTCCTCATGTGAGGATGGAGGGCTTGGATCTGGGCACAGCCATCAAGTCCCCCCAAAGTATCCACTCTACCCCCGTGACATGAACCATTGTGCCTGTGTACATGAGTGACAGACAGAATGTCTCAGCTGGAAACGCCTAAAAGGATGCTGAATCTAAAGCCTCCCTTTTACAGATCTGGCCTAGTGCTAGTTGCCAGGAGAGCAGAAACCAGGATCCTACATTCCGTTCATTGCACGTTCCTGCTCAGCCAGCAAATTCGGGATAGTCGCATGCAAAAACTGGCCCAGAGACTCACCAACTAAGACAGAATACAAAATCATAGCGGCAGAAAAATAGATTGCAAAAGCATACTGTTGAAAAACTCATGAAAGGAAGTCACTGTCAATTTCAAGTGATGGGCTTATGAGTGAGGTTTTCCCTCTGTTTCTTAGCTTTAAAAGTAAAGTTACGTGTTTTTTAGCCATCTGTATGTCTTCCTTGGAGAAATGTCTGTTTAGTTCTTTGGCCCATTTTTTGATTGGGTCATTTATTTTTCTGGAGTTGAGCTGGAGGAGTTGCTTGTATATTTTTGAGATTAATCCTTTGTCTGTTGCTTCGTTTGCTATTATTTTCTCCCAATCTGAGGGCTGTCTTTT